TCATTAGGCTCCTGATTCCCCTCTGCATATTAATTTCACGTTGTTGAGGTCGCCCTCAGCTTTGCTGGAGTGGGAACATGGGACCAGCAGGAATATTCATGGCGGGGGATGGCAGTCCCCTGGGCCGGGTTGCAGTAGGGGTCTTTGCATCACAGTGAGCCGTGGTCCAACCCTGGTCCCAGTGCTACATCCCTCCCAGAGCTGCAATCTCCAAATTAGCATCCCTTCCCAATAGCAACATCCTCCAACCCAGCATCACTCCGAAACTAACAACCCTCAAATCAAAATCCCTGCTAAACCAGCATCCTCAAAATTAATATCCTCCAGAACGACATCTCTCCCCAAATCCTCATCCTTCAAATCAGTATTCTCCCTAAACCAGCATTCCTCCTCCACCAAAACCCCTCTCCAAACCAGAATCCTCCAAAATCACACCTTTCCCCAAATCCTCATCCTCCAAATCAATATCTCCCCCAAACCATCATCTTCCAAGCCCTCATCCTCCAACCTGTACTCCTCTTCAAGCCAGCATCTTCCAAACTGGTTCCCTCCTAAACCAGCATCCTCTGTATCAGCATCCCTCTCCAAAGCAGCATTCCTCCCTACACCAGTATCCTCCGAAGTAGCATCCCTTCCCAAACCAGCATCCTGCTCTAAACCAACATCCTCCAAACCAGCATCCCTCCCCAAATCCTCATCCTCCAAATCAATATCTTCCCCAAGCCAGCATCTTCCAAACCCTCATCATCCAAACCGGCATTCCTTTTTAAAGCAGTATCCTCCAAACCAGCATCCCACTCTAAACCTGTATCATCCAAAACCACATCTCACCCCAAATCTTCATCCACCAAAGTGGTACTCTCCTAAATCAGCACTTTCCAAACCAGCATCCCTCCCTAAATCAGTATCCTCCAAACCACCATCCTTTCCCAAACCACCATCCCCCCCAAACCGATACCCTCCAAACTCACACCCCCAAAACCCTCTCTTGCCAATCCAGCCCTCTTCAAACTCTCAGCCCTCCCCAAACTCCCACAACCCTCCCTTTGTCCACAGCAGGGGTCCGTGCCCCCAGACTTGATCCTTCTCAGGGGATTCGCTGTCCCTGAGCGCTGCTGCGTGCGCTTCAGCACTGAATCACCTCGATTACAGATTCACTTGGATGCAATTTGGGAAAGAAAACAAGGGGGGAAAAAAATAAAAAAAGACAACAGCCCGCCCTCCTTCTCCTCCTCCTCCCCCTGGGAAGGGGGGACAGCAGCATAAATAGGCACCAGCACAGCACAGTGCCAGACACACAGCGCAGCCAACGAACGGCAGGGCAGCCTTCCCCGCACGCGTGGCATCGCTCTGGGCACACTCAGCATGGCAGAGCCTTCACTGCCTCTCTCCTTCCTCTGTCTCCTGGCTTTGTCCTCCGCCTGCTACATCCAGAACTGCCCCCGGGGTGGCAAGAGGGCTTTGGGTGATACAGCCCTGCGGCAGGTATGGGGGCACTTGGGTAAATGGGGGCTGCGTGGGGTGTGGAATGTGCCCAATAACTGCTGGGTGTTGGAACTTGCTGGGGGTTGTTGGCACCTGTTGGTTGGTCCCCATCACTCTTTGGGTTGGGGGACACGGCCAAGAGCTTGATCCCAAAGTGACGGCTGACTTGGGGATACAGGAGCATTTGTGGGGGGACAAAGGGGGACTCCAAGGGTGGCATCAGGACAATCCGCTGTGTCAGACGGCAAAGGTGGGGACAGGCCAGGTGTCACTGTGCAATGCCCAGAAAATAGGTCTTATAGGGGATCTCTGAGCTCAAGGATGGGCACTCAAACATGCTCTGTCCCTGCAGTGCCTGCCCTGTGGACCGGGGAACAGGGGTCGCTGCTTCGGGCCTGGGATCTGCTGCAGTGCAGAGCTGGGCTGCTACCTGGGCACGGCAGAGACACGGCGCTGCGCCGAGGAGGACTATGTGCCTTCACCCTGCCAGGCTGGTGGGCAGCCCTGCGGCTCCGGCGGGCGCTGCGCTGCCAACGGTGTCTGCTGCAGTGCTGGTAATGGGGCCTGGGGGGAGTTTTGGGGGTGATAGTGCTCAGTGGTGGGAGATGGGGAGTGGGTGGAGCTGAGGTGGTTGGGGGTGGGAAGGGTTAATGGGGACTGGGGTGGCTTCTGGGTTGCAAAGGGTTGGTGGGTACTCTGGTGCTTTCCAAAAGGATCGACATCTCTCCCCAAAACAGTGTCCTCCAAACCAACATTCCCAAAAATCAGCATCCTCCAAATTAGCATTCACCTTCTGAACCAGCATCCTCCAAACTGAGGCACAGAGCAGCAGCAGCAATGTCACCAGCTTGGGGCAGTGATGAAGCTCAGAGCTCCCTCCCACGTCTCCACTGTGAGACATTCCCCTGCTGGGCACATAAACCACAAAAATTCCCTGCTTCCAGGTTAATGGGAAAAATAAAGCTGGAGTTCGGGCTTCTCTGATGGAAACAGATGATCATTAAGGTCCCTCCACCCGACACAACTCAATCCAACTCAACCCAACCCAATTCAGCCCAACTCAACTCATCCAAACCCAAACTCGACTCAACCCAACCCATTCTATGATTCTATGACCTGAAACCAACTGCTCCTAACTGTGATGCTTTCCCCATTGCAGACACGTGTGCCATGGACGCCGTGTGCCTGGAGGAAGGCAGTGAACAGGCAGAAGAGGCAGTGGAGAAGAACCTGACAGTGCTGGATGGCACAGCTGGGGATCTACTGCTGAGGCTGATGCACCTGGCCAACAGGCAGCAGCAGGGCAAGCAGCCTGGCCTCTGAGCTGCTGGGATATCAGCAAGATCCTTTGTAAATAGCAGATCTAATAAACTCCTCTTGCACTGTGCTGGCTTTGTCTGAGGTGTTGGGGATACGGGAGGAGTGCTGAGCTCCGGGCAACACTGGGAGCTTCAGGGTGGGCAGGATGGGGCCATGCGGGTGGGTGCTATGCCTTCATCTGACTCCCTGAACCCATTTTCCTATTTCCATTGTTTTCTACCTTGGAGGCTCGACCCCCATTCAATAGGATTTTGCTGAGCTGGTGCCCCCTGGTGCTAAAAGGGAAAGATCCCATCCAAAGCCATGATTTGAGGTCTGGCCGTCCATCCTCACCCCAGGATCCCACCAGCATCCATGGATTCCAACCTCCCTATCACACCCTGTCCTCCGATTTGTGATGGGGATCTGCCTTTGGATGTCACACCGTTACCTCCTTGCCCTCTGGGGCTTTGTTGCCTTTGGGAAGTGAAGATTTGGTGTTCAGGTCCTGGCAGAGCCAACTTGGTTCTGGGGCTTACACCTCATTCAGATCACATCTCACCCCTCTGTCAGCGACTTGTGGCTTTGGCCATGTCCAACATCCTAAATGGGATAAAAGGAAGAAAAAACCATCCCAAGCTTCCCAACACCGAAATCCAAACCTGCAAGTTTTGGGTTCCCAGTTGAACCCAACCATATGTATTATCCTCCCCAAATGCCCCAAACCCCTCAAAGCTGCAAGCTTTGGGTTCCCAGTTGAACTTAACCACATGTATTATCCTCCCAAAATGCTCTAAACACCAAAACCCCAACCCCTCAAAGCTACAAGCTTTGGGTTCCCAGTTGAACCAACCCCAGATACTATCTTCTCAAAATACCTCAAACTCAAAAACCCAAACATCCCAAAGCCACAAATTTTGGGTTCCCAATTGAACCTGATCACATGTATTATCTTCCCATGGCAGCAATACTAACAACACTCACCAAACTGCTCCCACATCATTCCCACAACACCCCCAAACCCAGGGCTATTTGGGCAGATGCTGCCTAAACTTCTTACCCTTTTGGGTTCCCTGCTCCAAACTTCGTGTGGCATTTTGGGGGCTGCGTCCCCAGAAGGAGCCATGTGCCTTGTTTCCATCATCCACCTGTCCCCCTGGGCTAGCATCTGGCTGCTTTGTGGGAACAACTAGCCTTTATAATGTCCCCAAGGGGAGGTGGCACCTTGGGGTAGTTGTGCTCCCATTGGCCCACGTCATCCCAGCACGGTGACGAGCCCCCATCCCACCCCATTAGTATGGAGCCCCGTGCTTCAGCTGCAGCCTCAGCCCATTCCACATGACCCCACTAAGTGGCAGACCAGACACAGGGCAGAGGGGATGGCAGAGGTGACAGCCCCATGGCACTGGGCTCTGCATTCCCTAATTAAGCAGGCACTGGGAAGGACCAGGGTCATGGTCTCCATAGACGTAAGCTGTTGTCCAGAGCGAGTGGATTTATTCAAGTCAGGAAGCCCTTAATTGCAGTAACAAAGGCAGGGAGATCCAGGCCTTAGCGGCTGGCTGTACTCATGCCATGTGTGTGGCTCCAGGGCAGAAGTTACAGGAGATTGGGGCTTTCAAGCATTTGCTGATGAGGTTGGGTAGTTTTGAGAAGGTGGGATGGTCTTGGGGATGCTCAGTGATGTCACCATGCTCCCAGATGGGACATGCATGCCATTTAGCACCCTTAACACCAAGTAGAGATGGGCAAGAATGACCAGGCACCACATATCACAACCCAAAGCTCTCCAGCTTTGGTTTTCCTCCCACCAGAAAAGATTCAAATCCCAGCCAGCACAGGGTTTCACTTTAGCTCACCCCATTCACCCCGCTGCCAGGAGGACGTCAACCAAACTCCAACACTACCCAACCCATAGGGTTTGGCCAAGCAGGACAAGGAGCCACAAAACCATAGCCTGGCCATCCAAGAAGCTTTCACCCCAAAAAAGCACCTGCAGCCCCTGTGCATCCCCCTACAGCAGTCAAAGCGAGCACTAAGAAAATCAGCACCTCAGCACTGACCTCACGTCCTCGACCTCCAGTTATTAGCTGAGCCCTTTGGTGGGGAAAGCAATGCCTTGTGTTTTTAAAAGGAAATCAATGACGATGGTGCTGGCGTGTATAATTAGCAGGGGGCCCTATAAATACTGCTGCTGGCTGGGACAGGACCCAGAAGCATCCTGATCCTGCAGCCATGTCCTACAAGGCACTCACCGTCTGCCTGCTGGGGCTCCTGGCTCTCTCCTCAGCTTGTTACATCCAGAACTGCCCCATCGGGGGCAAGCGTGCCGTGCCAGACATGGACATCAGGAAGGTAGGTCCCTGTGGGCTGGGTGGGCTGTGAGAGAACCTGCCTTCCTTCTGCCACCCCTTCCTTAGGCAGCTCTGAGCCTGCCAAACAGCAAGGTGAGATGCATGGATGTTATAGGAATGGGGTTTCAGATTGGGGGGAATCTTAAAGCAAAGCAGTTTGGGGATGGGTAGCCAAAAGGGAGCTGCAAAGAAGTCAGCCAGAAGCAGGATGCTGATGAAAAACCATTGCTTTTTCCCAATGCTGGGAAAAAAACAATTCCAATGGGGCAGTGGCACCATTTTTATGTAGAACGTTAACTTCTGGGGGGTGAATTTGGTGCATGATAAGCCATTTGACTAAAGCCATGACTGTCATGGAATCATTCAGGTTGAAAAAGACCTCTAAGAGCACCAAGTCTAACCCCAGCACATCCCTCAGTGCTACATCTCCACAGTTCTGGAACACCTCCAGGTTTGGTGGCACTCTCTGTGCCACCTGTGTCAGTGCCTCTTTTGGAGAAGAATTTTTTCCAAATTTTTTCCAATTTTTCCAAATCCAACCTGAACTGGTGCAGCGTGAGGCCATTTCCTCTTATCCTATCACTGTTACCTGGGAGAAAAGACCAACGTCTTTTCACCACTCCTACATGAAAACAAACCCAGAGCCTTCCAGAGCAAACCACTGGGATGAGGACAGAGCTGAGAACAAGATGAGGATACACACACTGGCAGAGGACAGGGAGATCAGGCTCAATCCCTAACACTGTTCCTCAATGCCCCGAGCAGTGCCTGCCTTGTGGCCCCAGGAACAAAGGCCACTGCTTTGGCCCCAACATCTGCTGTGGGGAGGAGCTGGGCTGCTACCTGGGCACCTCTGAAACCCTGCGGTGCCAGGAGGAGAACTTCCTGCCAACACCCTGTGAGTCTGGGAGGAAAGCCTGCGGCGAGGATGGGGCGAGCTGTGCAGCACCAGGAATCTGCTGCAGCAGTGGTGAGCAACGTGGGCAGACCAGGGGGGGCCTCACATCCACCCCAAGGCTATGATACAGAACAGGGAGGGAGGGGGATGTTACTGAGGAGGAACATGTTGCTACTGCAGGGCACCAAGCTAATGCCAAGTTGTTTGATCTTATTAAAAACAGCACAGGGAGGGGGATCTGAGGGCTGCTTTGTGCTGATTTCTTCTCTCCCTGAGCAGAGGGCTGCGTGCTTGACTCATCTTGCAACCAAGAAATGCTGTTTGCATAGAGGGAAAAACCAGCAGGATCTGCTGTCCCATGGGCTGCACCAGCGCAGCACCCAGCACCATGACTCAGACTGAAGTGATGTTCTTAATTAGAAATAAAACTTGGAGAGAATTTAAAAAAAAAAAGTGTGTTTTTCTCCATCCTTGCCTGGTTTAGCTATAGGATCCTACTGAGACCTGTAAAGCAGTGCTGTTCAGAAGTCCTCTGCGGTTTTCTTCTTTTGTTGTGTTAAAAACCATCCTAGAATGGCTTAAGTTGGAGGAGACCTTAAAGTCCATCTAGTTCTACTGGGTGGGCAGGTTGCACTCACAAGCTCAGGTTGCTCAGGACCACATCCAAACCAGCTCTGAGCACCTCCACTGATGGGGCACCCACAGCTCTGTGGGCAGCATTATAGGGCCTCACCACCCTCTGAGTAAAGAATTTCCCCCTAATACCTAACTCACATTTCCCCTCTTTTAGTTTAAAGCCATTCTCCCTCATCCTATCACTATTACACCATGTAAATAAAAAAAGAAAAATCAGTGCCTCCTGCTTATAAACTCCATTCAAGTACTGAAAGGGTTTAAAAGATGAACAGGAACAACAGGTCATTCCACCATAGCAGAAAACACAGAAACAATGATTTATTTCACCTAACAACAAAAAACACAGTGTCTGTGTTTTCCTCAAAACAATCCAGACCTTGTTTTCCATCAAAAGCATCCAGAGGGGCAGAAATGCAAACAGTGCTGGGGCCGCTGGCACACGAGGCCATGATGGGCTTGTGCCAGAAGCAGATGTAGTCACAGGATTCCAGAGGTAAGGGTGCAAAACCAGTCAGATACAATCTCCCTGCAACGTGCTACTGTGCAAGGCCCGGGTACAACCTTACCTGTGACAGGAGTACCTTTTTCTTGCACATATTTAAGACCAATTGAGTGCAGCAAAACAAATCAGAAGGCCAAAGATAAAGGGAGAGTGACCAGAGATTGAGGTGCTTCAGCTGAGCAAAGGAGACAAAGGGATGAGATCTCTCTAGTGCAAAACCACTGAGGATTTGCCTTGGAGTTTGCCTTGCTCCACCTCACCTCCAAGATGAGGGCAGCAGGGACCCAAACAGAGGGAGATGGAACTGCAGAGTACCACTTAGAGCAACGGGAACAGAACACCAGCAGCTCCTCCTCCTCCTGTCTGCACCACTGCAGCACTGAGGCAGAGTGCTGCTCTGCACCTCAAAATAATGATATTTCCCTCTTTTCCCCCTACCTCTGCAAGAACAGGGCAGGAAGCAGACCGTTTGTCCATCAATTCTATGGTTGATTTGTGCATTAAAAGGAAGAACCGCAGCCTCTAGAGAGGGCCAGCACATCTCTTTCAGCCATGAGACAGAGCTGCTAGGACAGTGCAGTGCGCTTGACAATGCGTCCCTCTTTGTCAATGGCGAAGTTGTAGTTGCGAGGGTTGTCCAGGCACTCCTCAATCCGAGCCTCCAGGTTCTCAGGAGTGATGAAGGTTTTTGCTTCCTCCTGCAGGAAAGAGTCAGCTGTTAGCACACGCCACCAGAGAAAGCCCCAAGGGTCACCAGAATCTGCCTTTGAGCACAGTAGCACTGCAGCAGGTTGCCAGCACCTCTGCATACACTGCTGCTGGCTGTGGGACTCCTGCAGACATGCCAACCTCACATGCCAGCAGTCAGTCTCAAAGACAGCACCTTAATTCCCTCACTTGTGATTATTCCTCCCCTTGCTGTCTGAGCTCTCACTTAGCCTCTGTCTTCTCCTCACGCTCCAGGAAGGAGCCAACATTTCCCTTCCACAGCACTCCAATGTGCTGCCAGAGAGTCACTCACACAGATGGTGGCAGCAATCTGCCCAGCATCCCCCAGCTTCTCTCACCTGCAGCTGAAGGACCTCTTTCTCTTTCTCCTTCAGAAAGGCCTCCATCACTTTGGCTTTGTTCTCCATTGCCTGCAGTTTCTGCATCTTCTGTTCTTCTTTTTCTTTCCTAATTCTTTCTTCTCTGCCATTTGGGAAAGAAAGAAACTTATGTTGAGTACTTATGACCCGAGTGAGACACATCAGTCCCTGGGGCACAATGCCTGAAGGTCTGAGTGCAGCAGAAATGGAGGAGCAGCCCAACAGGCCTCATCCCTTTAACCTCTGCCTGAGTTCATCTGCTGACTGCTTTGACTTTCTGAGTGCACTTCCAATGCTTGACCAGGGGATGGCTCCATGGGAGCAGAATAGGAGTGAAAACAGAGAAATATCCCAGGTTGAAAATCAGGAAGAACTTCCTCTCTGAAAGAGTAGCAATGCATTGGCACAGCTGCCCAGGGAAGTTGTAAAGTCACCGTCCCTTGAAGTGCTCAAGAACCACAGAGACATGGCACTGAGGGACATGGCCAGTGGGCATCGTGGGGATGGGCTGACAGTTAAGGCTTTATGATCTTAGTGCTTTTTTTCCTATGACAGTCACAGCATAACAGCAGCAAGCACGGATGAACCACTCAGGTTTATTTTTACAAAAACATGGCCTGGTTATCTGGATGTTTTATTTAGTTTTGAAGTACAACTTGAAGCAGCAGTTAGCACTGAGGCTGCCCGCCCTCACCTGCGTGCCCGCTGTCGTGCATTCTCAGCATCATTCCAGGCCATCAGCAGACGGTGCTCCTCTAACACTGCTGCTGAGTCCTCAGCATCCTTCTGCGCCTCATGCTTTCTCTGCACCACCTCGGACCTGAAGATGGAGCTGCCAAGGAGCAGGGCACTGAGCACAGACCCACATTCACCCCCCTGTCCCAGACCCCTGCCACAAAGCGGCCTCAGCCCAATGTAACCCCATAGCCAGTTCCCACTTTCAGACTCCCCCCAGCTCTTCTCTTCCCCACTCTGCCACTCTGGACTCCCCCAGACATTTCCCGCCCCAAAATAGCCCCATACTCAATCATACTGTGTATGACAGATGCACTGTAACTCCATATCTTGGCCTAAAACAGTCCCACAGTCCCAATCCCACTCTATACCCCCATCTCCTGATCCTGCCCCAAAGACACTCCAGAATCTCCCCAGTCCTCCTCTGCCCTTAAGATACCCAATACCCACCTCCCAAATCCTCCTCCACCCAAACCATCCTGATTCCATCCTACAGCAGCCCAATACCCATTCCCTGCCCGACATGCACCCCGCACCCACAAAACCCTCCCCTGCCCCACCGCAGTGACATACCCTGCCCCAAAATTGACCCATCATCCTGCTCCTGCTCCACAGCAGCCTCATACCACATCACAACCCCACACCCTGCCCCATAGTAGCCCCATCGCCACCTCGGTGCCCCACAGCCTCTCTGGACCACTCCCCGAATTATACCGTGCCCCAAAGCAGTGCTCATACTCACTACATGCCTTGACGGCAGCCCCAGCCTCAGTCAGCCCGACTTTTACCCCAAAACAGTCCCACAACCACCTCACAAAGACCCCCACAGCAGTCCCAGACTCTTCCCAAAACTCTTCTGTCCCACACCCGCCCACCCCACCCTCTCTCAGCTCCGCCGGTACCGGAGGGCGCCGAGCACCAGGCGGTGCTGCCGGTATCGCTCGGTGACCACACAGAGCTCGGCGGGGTCGACGGGAGGCGGCACTTTCAGCCGCGACGCTTTAGATTTGGCGGGAGGATCGTGCCGCGATTTGCGGCCCCGACATGGCACCAACCACGGGCTCCAAGCAGGGACGGCCCTAGTGATGGCAGCGGGGAACGAGCGCGGCCCGCAACACCTCAGCGCCGCCAACATGGCGGCCAGCAGCAGGCCGGATGTGACGTAAACAAGGCGGGAGTCGCGGACCAATGAGAGGAGGGCGCGGAGCGAGGCACGATGGGAAATGTAGTGCGGCGGAGGGCTGCTCAATGCGGTTGGCGCAGGGCGGCCGCCAGAGGGCGCCACACTGCGGCCCGGAGGGTTGAGGGCATCGGCGGGAGCGGGCGGCACGGCGGGGTCGGACAGGGCCGGAGCGCGGCGGGGACCTGTGGGTGGGGGGTAGTCCCAGAGTAATAACCCAGAGTGTGAGGTAAAAACTCGTATGTGAGGTCATAATTCCATGTGTGAAGTAAAAAAACCTATGTATGAGGTAAAAAACCCATGTGTGAGGTAATAATCCCATGAGTGAAACAAAAGCCCCATGTGTGAGGTAAAAACCCCATGTGTGAGGTAAAAACGCCATGTGTGAGGTAAAAACTCCATGAGTGAAATAAAAGCCCCATGAGTGGGGTAAAAACCCCATGTGTGAGGTAAAAAAAACCCATATATGAGATAAAAACCCTGTATGTATGTAAAAATCCCATATGTAAGATAAAAATCCCATATGTGAGGTAATAAACCAAGCGTGAGTGGTTGATGATCCTGTGGAGGGGTAATCTGTGAGGTAATAGTCCCCCATGTCAGGTAAATCCTGTGTGGAAGGGTGTGAAGTTATGAAGAGGTATCATCCCATTTGTGTGTGGGAATAATCCCATGTGGGGGTATAATTCTGTGTGGAAAGGCGTAATCTGTGTATGTGGGGGTAATTCTGGGGATGGGTGATCCAAATGTGTGTGTGAAATGGGAATAATCCCAATGGGGATTGATATGAATGGGAATGAATGGGAATAATCCCATGGAGGTGAGATAATCCCCTGGGGAGGGGGGGAAATGGGTGTGGGTTATGCCATGGGGGAGAAGGGGGGAGGAAGGGGGAAGATGCAGGCAGGAATTATGCTGGGTTTGGGGGATAATCCCATAGGGGTGTGAGGGGAATAACTGGGGGATTTGTAACCCAGGCAGGGATAACCTGGTTGTGAGGGGGTTATCGGGGGAGGAGAGGGGAGGGGGGAGTAATCTGGAAGGCTGTAAATTTGGGGATGGTTGTAGCAATAGGGGGGAATAACCCAAACGGGGGGGTGTAATTGGGGGGTGGTGGTTATAGCACTGAGAGGGCAATACGTGAGGACAGGGTTAGGGGATGATGTGGGAAAGGAGGCAGGTCCCTACCTGTGGGGCGCTGATGTCCCTCTTGCCCCCTGGGTACCATCCGTGGGACCAGTGCTGGCCCTGCACAGTGCCTGCCAGCAGCAGCAGGGCCAGCAGCAGGCAGCCACCAGGAGCCATGGCACCAAGCAGGACTGTGGGGTAACGGGAAGTAATGGAGAGGTAATAGGGGTGTGGGGCTGGTAGCCCCCCACTGTCCAGACCTGTGGTGGGTCAGCAGGTCCCAAACCACTCCTGAGTGGTTTTTGGGACTGGGGATGGAGGTGCCCAGGGATGGGCATCTGTGGGTGCTGCTCGGGGCTGCTTTGGGACTGCAGGGATGGGTGCTCCACATTTTTATCAGAAAATGGAGGTACTGCAGGGGATGAGCACCCATGGGTGCTGGACTGGGTTGCAGTAACGATGGGCACCCTGCAGTCCCATCTGGGGGTGAAGGTGACAGGGAGATGAGCACCCACTGGTGCTGCTTGGTGTGGGCTCGGGTCTGCAAGGAGCTGTGTCCCAAGGTGCCTCTTAGGCTTGTTTTGGGGACTGGAGGTGCTGAAGGGATAGAGCACCCATGGGTGCTGCATTGGGCTGGGCTGGGTGCAGCAAGGATAAGCATCCCCAAATCCTGTTTGGGGATGGAGATATTGGAAGGAATGAGCACCCATGGGTGCTGTTTGGGGTTGAATTGGGTGTAGCAAGGAGGGGTACCCCAAGGTGCCACTTGGCTTGGGTGCAGCAAGGACGGACACCACAGGGTCACATTTGGGAATGCAGATGGCAGGGGGTGTAAGCACCCACAGGGTGCTGCTTGGGGCTGGGATCAGGAATGGAGGTGATGGAGGGGACGAGTACCTCCAGGGTGCTGCATGGAGCTGGCTTTGGGTGCAGCAAGGACAGGCACCATAAAGTACCAGGGGAAGGATGGAGATGCTGCAGGGGACGAGCACCCATGGGTGCCGCTTGGTGCAGCAAAGCCAAGTACCCGGGGGCTGTTAGGGCTGATTGGGGTCCCACCACCCTGCTCCCCGCATCGCACTCACCTGTTGGGGTGGCGGTGGCCGGTGCTGTGTCCTGGCCAGGAGCTCGGCACCGCTATTTGTAGGGCTGGGCTCGGCACCACTCTTTGTAGGGCTGGGCTTGGCAGCGCTGACGTCGACCCCACTCCCTGGGGAGCTGGCAGCCAGTGCTTGCTGAGATGGAGCCCACCCCAGAGCTTGAGGATACTCATGGAAGGGAGTGAGGGGGGGGATGCAAATCCCTGTGCCTCAGTTCCCCCTCCCACAAAAGATCATAGGATGGTATAGAAGATACTGCTGGCAACCCTCGTTTTCCCTTTTCTCCTCCAGTTTTTCCAAATATGGGGCTGGATGCTGCATCTCTGCCTGGCCACGGCTCTGGGTTTGTAGCAGAGTAACAGGGTATGGGAAGTGGATTTAGCCCGGATTATCTACAGCTGCCTGCTGTTTGCAAAGTGATGCTCCAGCAGCTCTGCACATGGTCAAAGGGCAGGGATGCTCCCCAGGCCCCAAAACACTGCTCTGAGCAGTAAGGAGGGGAAGAAAACCTCATTTAAGTCACATCTGTGCAATTAATCCAATGGCTCTTGATGCCACAAAAACTGTTAAACTATGGTCACCTTTTTTTTGTCTTTCCAGCACAACAGTGCTGCACCCCTCTGCCCTCAGGTCTTTTCTTTGCCCTTTGGGCTCTTCTTGCACTCTGGCTTGCCACAAACATTAGTTTTTACATGTTTTTTTTTCTGGGAGGGGAACTTCAAAACTCACTTATTTTATACTTTCTGCTCTGACAACCCAAATTCATTTTGTATCCCCGTTATTTCCAAATGACACCAATAGGAGGGAAAGGGACGGGCACAGGCACCCCCACATCCCACCAACAAAGGGATAGAGCTCCTTCAAGGAACAAAAATCCTCTTCCCCCCTTCATTTTGCTTGAAATCCCAACAGATACTGCCAGGTTCAGCTTTCCAATCCCAATGTGATGGCCTGATCCTGAAAGAGAATGCTTTTTCTCTCTTTTTTTTTTTTAACAAAAATTAGGATATTTAGATACATACACACACACAGAATAAGTTGGTTTGGTTTCTTTTCTCCTTATTTTAAAGAGCTGACCGGCAGAAAAATGTGAAACCATTTCCCTGCAGGTTTGGAAAAGCTTGTGCTTGCTTGCGGAGGGTTATTGGTTCAGATGAGATCCAGAATTATTCTTTTCTTTTTTTTAAAAAAAAGGCTTTACTCCCTCAAGAAAAAAAAAGAAAAAAAAAAAAGATTTACAAACAAAATAACAGCCTGTATCAACTCTCCAGAAGAGAGATGGTATGACAATATTAATCCAAACATCACGCTATTTAATTCCCCAATAAAACATTGGAAAAAAAAGGAGCTGACAGTATCTGCACTAACACTTTGCTACATATAAAATCTCCAGCTAATATGAAGCTTATGGTACCAACCTCTAAAACAGTTAAGATATATACACATATTTTGGGGGAGGGGTATATTAACAAACAGAATATTACAAAATATTAAAGAAGGCAACTCTTCTGTCATTTGTTTCAGGTTGTTTGTTGTATTTTTCACTTGAAGTTGGCGTAGTCTGAGAAGGCGTCGATGTATTCCTGCACCACTTTGTAGCAGAATTCGTACTGTTCCTGCAGAGCAGAGAGAAAACAGTGTTACTCCAAGGAAAGCCATGTTTCAGAAATCACTTGATGCTTCGTGGCCTGCAATGAGGACTGAGCTGAGTTATTACTGCACACCAAAGCACTTTATCTCTCTCATAGCGCTGGGAAAAGGGTGAAGCTCGTGGAGAACGTCTTGGGATGGAGGCAGCAGGTGATAGGACAGCACTTCTGGGTACTGAGTGCTGGGCATGGATTCCCAACCATGAGCAGCTCCTAATGGAAGGCTTGTGGTGATGCCACCTTGGTTTTGCCCTACCCCCCAAAATGGGGCTTGGCCAGCCTTACAGGTTGCTCCCACAGAATCACAGAATGGCCCAGGTTGGAAGGGACCTCAAGGATCATGAATCTCCAATGCTCCTGACACATGCAGGGCTGCCAACCTCCCCATTTAATACTAGACCAGGCTGTGCAGGGCCCCATTCAATCTGGCCTTGAACACCTCCAGGAATGGGGCATCCACAACCTCTCTGGGCAGAGCTCCCAACCTCCTGCTCCCCGCCTCTTGCTCAGTGAATGGGAGAGACTCTGCTTCCCCTCTCCTCTCTGAGGTCCCATTTTGAGAACAGATTCTAAAAAACACCTGAGTATCCTTGCAACAACCCCTCTTGCAAAACCTCATTAAGTCCTGCCTGCTCCTCCTCTCCTTGCCAGGCTCACAGCCAAAGCCCTTATCACAGTCTCTCCAGGACATGGTTTCCAGGCTCCTGGAGCCCAGAATTCCAGGGACTGTAGATGAGGATGTCTCCGGGGAGGCTCCTATAGCTCATGTCAGCACTCAGAAGGAGGCTGATGCAACCAGCCAGGCCACCTCCTCTCTTCTGAACACAGCACAGGAGGACGGGAAGATCCTTCTTGACCCACCTCTATCCCTTATTCTTTGTCAGAGAGAGAGCAAATCTCCAGCTGGGGAAGTTTATCTCAACAGCTTAACAGGTTTGAGTCCCCAACTCATTCCTGCTGAGGTCCAGGGCTTACCAGTGTCTGCACCATATGCGGCCTCTGTAGTCTTAAACTCTTCACTGTCTGAAAGACATCAAGAATCCCTTCTGCTTTCACCCTTTCCAGGACAGTGCTCAGCGCACAGAAGGTTCCTGTTCTTCCTGCTCCGGCACTGGCAAAGAGAAACCAGAAGGTGAAACCATCCATCGTTCCCAAGCTACGCCAAGCAGTCCAGGTTTGTCAGTGGTTTTGTTATCTCAAGATGCACAGTCAGAAGGCAGCACTGAGGTGAAGCAAACCCCAAATCTCTGCAGCCTGAAGCTGCCCCCCAGGCTCACCTGCAGTGCACAGTGATGGGGTGGTTGCCTGACTGCTGCTGCTGCTTCTGCACGGCCGCGATGATGTTGATCATTCCCTTCCCATCGCTGGGGATCCCAACCTCTGGCCAGCCATGGAAGTGGAACTGTCGAATCTGTCGGCTCTTGTTTTCCTGGCAGAAGAGCACAGCCAGAACTCAGCACGGCCCATTTCAGACCAATGAACCAACTTGCTGAATGCTTCATGAAAACCCATAGGAGGTGTGTGTGCTTGGGAAAAGTCATTTGCTTGGTGTATGGCAGAGCAGGACATGCGAATGGGGAGCATGAGGAAAGTAGGATAGCAGGCACAGGAATAAGGCAACCAAAAGACAACCAGAGTTCCCCAAAGGGCAGTGGTAGACCCTTACCCTGGTGTTTGTCACCAGCAGGTCCCGCACTGTGTAGCTCTCACATTCCTCCTCTTTTTTCAGCTCCACGTTGATGTCTCCATAGGACACAGAGCCATCAGAAGGCCAGTACTGGGCACATTTCTCCTGAGAAAGAATTGCAAGAGGAGACAGGATGAAATTGCAAATTTTTCTTGCTGTGTTGAAGGTGCACAGCACTGGGAACAGCACAGTGCACAGCACTGGAGAGTTTAAGGATGTGCTCTGATTTCCTTTGCTGCTGCTACAGTAAATGCTCACCTGGCCTCTCTCCTCCAACTCTGTTAACATCACTATGGAGCAGGATTTCCACTCCCAGATCATCCTCCAGAAGTCCTCTATCGTGTGCTGCAGTGGCCCTTGGCTGGCGATATAGGAGTCTTTCTGGCGATAGCCCTGTGATTTCAAACATGGCAATGAGAGAATTGGCAACATGAGGAGGTGGGTACAGAGGAGAGCTGCAGGCACAATGACCACAAAAAGCCCAGCAGGTTCAATGACAATTCAATGTAGATGCATGGAAATAAAGGAACAACTTGTTCAGGGGGGAAACACCTGTGTTCATGGTACCTACTGGGGGCAGAGCCTTAGCACAGGTGTAATAATTACGAAACAATGCCAACTCTTTGCAAGACACAGAGCTGGAGCACCACCTTTGTGGAGCTCTCTGATATCTCAAACTCAGCAAATAATGCAGTGCAGGCACTCTTAATCCTGCTTAGAAGTGCCAAGAAAAAAGGGCAAGCCAGCTTAGCAATCCTTCTCTCTCTGTGCCTTGTTCCTCATGCCAGGCAAAGGCTGCTGTGTCCAGGCTGCTGGTCACTGCTTCCTGTGCCAGCTGCTCTCTGCATGCTTGCCTTGAGGTCTGTGTGTGAGCTCTCCCTTCCAACTCAATCAAAAAGTGGCAAATCCAGTGGATTAGGACTGCCTCATGCAGACTGGAGAATGCAGGCAGCAGTTCAGGTCTGCAAATGCATCGATGTGCTCTTGGATGAGTTGCCAAGTTGAGTTGAACTCGAGAGCACCACTGTGTGAACAACCCCAGTCTGAGCAGAGCCACCACCTGGCTTTCCCTGCCCTACCACTTGGCAGCTGAGATGCTGTCATGGTGAGACCTTTGCATTTAGGGAAATGCAGCTGCAGTAGGATCACATTTGGCAAAGGAAGGTTTGGTTTTCAGTACTCCTAGGACACTGGCAAAGTCTGAATTTTGTAGCAGAGCCAGCCATCATGCCTAAGTTCAAAGACTTAGGCTTTTTGGAAGAAGTGAGCAAAACCAGGCTCTGTACTAAGTCAGGGTGACTCTGCTCCACAACAAGAACTGCTTCTGTTACAGAGAATGAAAACCTCCACTATTCCCCTGTGACCTCGCAGCAGACTGTGAATGCAGATGCTTCGTCATTTGGCATTTGTCATTTAAGCAAAGTTCAGCAGAGGCAGGAAATTGAATCCTCAACAAAATTGCTTACATGACATTTAAGCCTTCTGATCTAGATGCAGAATGAGAAGGCTGCTCACATCTGCGTTTTGTCAGAAGCTGACACAGCCAGAGCACAGCCAGAGCACAACGTGGGGATCCAGCAAGTGAGATCTGGGGGAGCAGACTATTTGGAAGGTTGTATCTGGGAATATACTGGTTTTACTGGTTCAACACATAGCAGTCATCACACTTCTGGGGAAAAAACACTGCCATTAGGAGATGACAATAGGAATTGGGCTGGAAAAGGGCAGGTTTCTTTGTTACTTAACCAGTGCTGGCATCACTGCACAAAGACAAATACTCATATGAGATGGACCCCTGAAGTCAACAGGATTACTCACGAGCAAAGGATGTGCAATCACCTATCTCCCCCTGGAGTGAAAAAGCACTTAACCTCTCTGCCTCATTTCCTCTAGTCACCAAGACAGGTGTAATAGGATTGACCTGTTTTTCTCAGGGGTTTTGGGATCCGTGTATTGCTCCAGAACTAATCTAGAGGATGTTTTCTGACCAAATGAACAGTGCCATGAAGTAATTATTTCCATGGCTTTGTGCATCCTCTTCTCAAAGCCATCATCAAACCCCAGAGCTGTGAAGTGGGACCAAGATTTAGAGGCCCTGCTTAGGCTCCAAATCTCCTCTACCTAAGAAGAAGTGTTTCAGCACAAAACCTTCAATATGAAAAAGTGTGAGGTAAATAGTTTCCAGGGAGAGAAGATGGAAAAAAGATCAAAGAAGACTCACATCAATAAAAGAAGCATTAACGTAGTCTGTGTTTTCTTCACCTCTCTTCACTGGAATGATTACTCTGTTGAACTCATCTAAAACAGAAGCAAAATGACTGCATTTTGGGAAACACTTTAAAAACATAATTATGTATGGCCTTCAGCTGGGAAGTCACCAAGACCAAGTGCTGAGATGAGGGAAGGGGGGCCCTGTGTCTACAGCACCCATTTATGCAATGAGGAGACTCAGTTCTGCCTTCTGCCATACCCTGGTTTAGAGAGACCAGGGCAGAAGGGAGGTACTGAGGACTCAAGGAGCAGGACTGCTCAGCAGATATTCCCTTCTTCCAAAGGCAGAAAGCCTTGGGGAGGACCAACCTTCTGAGAACAAGTCATGGCAGGGGCAGGGCAGAACAAAGCAAGAAAGCTCTGGAGCAGTGTTAAATCTGTCCATGAAAACCCACCTCACCCTGACTCTGCCCTATCCCTGCATGGTTTCCCAACCAAGGAATGGACCAGGAGGCCTCCGGAGGTCGGTTTCAACCTCAACCATTCCGTGTCCCCACTCCCACAGATGCCTCTGTCTCCATTCTTCTTTCAACCGGACAGACAAACTTACATGGAATTATCTGAAGCACCCTGTTCTTTTTCATGTTTGCTGGCAAGTTGCCTGTTCTCATCTTGTCGTTCTGAATTTTGATGGAAGTGAGCTTCTGCAGAGGAAGGAAAGAAAGCAGTGACAGCTTGCAGAGTCACTAAAGGAAAAGCAAATGCATGGCAGTCCTTGCTGCCCAGCGTGTGCTGAACAAACCCACCAGCACAAGAACCAGGCTCACCTTGAACTCCTCTTCCAGCCCATTGCTGCTGGTCCCTGGCACTTTGTTGTAGATCTTCTGGAGGTGGATTTCTAACGAGGTCACCTCCAGCTCTGTATCACCATAGAGATAGTGCTCCAGCAGTGCTTGGTATATGAACACATACTGCATCTGAAAGGGTCGCAGAGAGAAGCTGCACTCAGGGATGGGATCTGGCTGCAAACCCACTGCCCAAGCACTTCCCACAGCCCCTGTAAGGGGCCTGAGACCTTATCTGCCACATGACCTGCAGGGACTTGACACAAAGCTCAAGGACAAACTAGAGATAACGAAGTGCAGGACCTGACCAACAGCTCACTTGACACAGTGTTCCTTCCCAAATTAAGGATGCCACTCAACTTGCCCACAGGGCTGCTGCAGGTGGCTTTGCTGCAGGCTGGGAACACACAAAAGAAAACCACAGGGAGCATGCAGCAGCACACTTACATCTGTCTGTACCATCTGGCAGCGCTGAGCCCGGATCCGGCTCACGAAACCGTAAACATCCACCTTCCTCTCGGCGTGCATCATGTCCAGCATGGCGTCGATGACGATAAAAGTGCCCGTGCGTCCCACCCCAGCGCTGCAATGGCAGAAGGGCAAACAATCAGGGCACAACTCCACAGCAAGCTCACTCCAGTCATAGAACCATGGAATGGCTTGTGTTGGAAGGGATCATAGTATCATAGAATGGCCTGGGTTGAAAAGGAACACAGTGATCATCTAGTTTCAACCCCCCTGCTATGTGCAGGGTTGCCAATTGCTAGACCAGGATGCCCAGAGCCACATCCAGCGTCCAGGGATCTTAAAGCACTCCCAGTTCCAGCCCTTGCTGTGGGCTGGTTGCCTCACATCAGCTCAGGCTGCCCAGGGCCCCATCCAACCTGCTCTTGAGCATCTCCAGAGAGGGGGCACCAGCAGCTCTCAGGGCAGCAGTACCAGGGCCCCTGAGTAAAGAATTTCCCCCTCACATCTAACCTAAATCTCTCCTCTTGTATTTTAAAACCATTCCCCACTGTCCCATAATTGTCAGACCATGTAAAAAGACACTCTCCGTTTTTTTTTTTATAAGCTGCCTTTAAATACTGAAAGGCCACTATGAGGTCTCCCCAAAGCTTTCTCTTCCTCAGGCTGAATGAGCCCAGCTCCCTCAGCCTGTCTCCATTGGAGAGTTACTTTGAGCATCAGACTCCAACAATCCCTTCCGCACACCATCACCAAGCACTGGAGCAGGGGTTGCTGCCCTCTCCCATCCAGAGATGCTTTCCAGGCAAGCCAGGAGAGGCAGAGCATAGCTGAGGCTCACCTGCAGTGCACTACTATTGCTCCTGCATACTGGGGGTTACACGTCTTCACCTTCTTTAAGAACTTCAGCATCCCAATGGGGGTGAAAGGCACCCCGAAGTCGGGCCAGCTGGTGAAGTGGAACTGCGTCACCAGGCGCTGAGGCTTCTTGTTCGTGACATCACCTACCTGCAGGGGAAACGTGTGCTCAGATCAATCACAAACACTTCAGATTTCCTTTCTTTTCCCAAAAGCTAAGGCAGAGAGGGAGCTACAGCCCCAAAGCTCAACTGAAAGTTTTAGGAAGCACTACCATCAGGAAGCTTAAAGGGCATGGATCCAGGCCACATGAGGCTCTAAAGGCTTGACATTTTAACTGCTCACTGTCATATCCTGCATCCTATGGGTGGCCTTGAAGCTGCAAAATAGTAGAGCAGAACATCACCCAGGTGAGAGATGCCCCTGGATGTCTCCAGCCTGGCAGAATCATAATTCATTGCCAATATGTCCAGCTCAAAAAGAAGGCATGGCTCCTTTCAGTAATAATGATGATGATGATGATGATGCAGTATCCTTATATTAAGAAGGGAAAGAACCAGGCACAAAGTGGGGTCCAGGAGAGCCTGATTTGGCTCTAGGCAGCCTTTCATCAAGGCACTCGGTCTCCCTTGCATCAGTTCTTTGTTGCCTGCCTCTGAGAACATCAGGAAAACAAACAGAGTGACTAATCCTGAGCTTGGAGGATGTGACAGTGTAGCGACAGATGGGAAAAGAAGCAAAACCCAACGCATAAAGCGCTGGATTTTGTCTCAACTCATGAGATGAAACTGACTTATTTGCAAGCACTAAGGGGCTGTGGCTGAGAATCACAGCATGGCTTGGGTTGGAAGGGACGCTAAGGATCATCAAGTTCCAGCCCTCCTGCTGTGGTAACAACAAGCACTGGAGGATTATAGGACTGCATTTTAACTGGAATCAACCGACTTCCTTTCTTCCAATGCAACAACGCTGACAGACACGGAGAATGGGGTCCCACGTGTTGGAGGTGAGTACATTCTTGATATCTCTCGTTATGAACAGGGATGTTGCTGTCACTGAAGTGAAACCCGGAGGAGTGGCAGAGCAGCCACAGGGGCGGGGAGGGACAGGACAGGGCAGCAGCACCTGCTGAATGCAGAACTTGCGCACGGTGTAGTCCACCAGCACTGTCACGTCTTCCACCGAAACACGGATGTTGCCATACGTCCAGCAGCCCTGATCTGGCCAGTACTGAGCACACTTACACTGCAGGGACAGAGAAGGGAGACGGGTAAGCTTCAGCACCCAGCAAGCCTGGGAACAAGCGTGGTGAGATCTGAGACATCGCGTGGCATGTTGGACACCCGTGGCACCCCAGTGCCTACCTCTTTCCTCTCCTTCAGGTTGGTCACCATGACAATTGTTGCTGTGTTTTGCTCCCAAATCATTCTCCAAAAGTCATTCACTGTTTCTTCCTTTGGTCCTAAGGGAAACAGATGCATTGCAGTTAGGAAGGGACATCAACTCCACAGGCAGTGGGACTAAAATCCATTGCAGTGTGTGGAGTGTAGCACTCTTTTTGCCGATAGATGTCAGCACAGGATGCTCCATGGGTGTCTGGGAACCCAGAGAACAATCATATTGCACAAGTGCAGGTTTTTTGTTTTTTGGTTTGTTTGTTTTTTTTTTTTAAGGGACTGGATACTTTTTTTATTATCAGGAATTCCATTTTTAGCCCAACAAGGGGAAACCAGACAAACAGAGCATGGAAACGACTTGCCCAAGGTCACACTGGGAAATTGTGGCTGTCACAAATAGCATGCACAAGTCCTGCCCCTGAGCCTTGTGCTTTAACCACAGGATCCTATTTCAATATGGCACAGGAATAGCTCTCACTGCCTGCCAGACAAGGAGCTGACTCACCCCAACATCCCCTGCCAAGCCCCAGGCTAAGGGTGAGCCAGGAGGAAAACAGAGCCAAAGCTTCACCCCAGCCTGGTACAGCTGATGAGCTGCAGCCTTCCTTCTCCAGCCAGAGCCAAGAGAACAGGGTGGCTGCACTGAGGCACACAAGCTGCGATCTGTGTGACAGTGGCTGGTGACAGGCAGGTGCAGCAAATCCAACTCACAAATAAAGGCTGGGATTAGAGAACACTTCCTATGATTTTTGCTAGTGTGAAGCTCCCATGCCTGGGCATCTGAGTTTCAGCAGGGAAAGCTGCACGCACAATGATGATGCTCTGCCTGGGTGCAGCTGAGCTTGGGAAGGCTTTGATGCTTGTAGCTAACAGTCCTGCCACCCATGTGAAGATTATTACAGCTGAGTCTCTCTCCAAGGACATAAGCCCACATTCTTAAAAGCTAAGGGTTAAGAAGGAGCATAATGAAACTGGATCAGTGTGGTGCTCGCTCTGACAAAATGATTTCTCAGCTTTATTAAGGAAATTTAATTAAGCATCCAGCTAGCTACGTTTTGAGAGATCACAGCCATCTGCAGCTGTGGCTCAGGGGGAGGATGAGGCTCTGGGACTGGTAGGATGGAAGAAACACTTTGACATTCCACAAGCTGGGCTTCTTGCTCTTCCCCAGTACATCCAACAGGAACAAAACATTTCTGCAACAACCTGTGGCCTGGCCAGATCTCCTTTCATGTTGACCAGAGACTCTCACAAGGCACTGTACTGGGGTTATCTGCAGTTTCATAGAGCAGAGGGACCCAAATCCAATAGGGCAGAGCTACTAAAATAACTGAGCATTTACCTTGTGCAGCAATGAACTTGTTTTTCTCTTGGTACCCCTATGGAGAAAAGGAGAAAAGGAAGACAAATGAAAGGCCAGTCTTTTTCTAAGGGTCATGAAGTGTTGCACTGCTTACACTCATGTAATTTATCAGCTGCTGGCCCAAAGCATGGATGAGGTGGTGGCTCAGTACCTTTCTGCTGGGATCATGTGAGAATCAGCATTAATCTTCAAGAGTTCAGGCTGTTGAACTCACAGTGGGTTATACAGATTATTTCCTAATGGCTATATAGTTAGTGCTGAAGAAAGTGAAAAAAATCCCTTTGGGGTCTTGCTTTTCTTCATGTGCCTCCATCTCCCTCAAAGTCAACTTCTTCATATTACCCTTCCCACTGTAACACTGATGTGGGCTACGTTAGCAGCTCCCCTCTGTGCCTTGTGGACAGAACACATCTCCCAAGAAACAGGACACTAAATTAATAAAATGCATCTTGTATTCAGATGAATGCTATAAAGCTAATGTGGACAAAAGGGAAAAGTTGGACTACATTCTCTCCCTCTCAGAAATCAATGAGTTCACTAACAAAAGCCATTGGCAAATGCACAAATCCTGCTGCCTCTTAGGAACAGAGTAGGGCAAAGTTGCTTTGAAGGATATTTTAGCTGTGTTGCTTCTTTTTTTTTTTTTTCCATGCCCTTCACATGTCAAGCCCTGCAAGCTGGGAAGTACCGGTGATTAATCAGCCTCAGGACTCATCAGCCATTAATCAGAAATCCTCCGTTCACCCCAGAATGGTTCCAAACCCCTTCCCAAACAGCCAGCTTGCCTTTGCAACACTCCGAGGAGCTTTTCATGGTTTTAGAAATGGCAAAAAAGAGAGGTGTGAAGAGATGGGACTGAGCACGGCAGGACTACAGCCAGAATTTATTAGTTCCCAGCCCTCTGTCTTGTACTCCAGTTGCTGGACTGTGTTCTTTTGGCTTCTTCCAGACTAAAGTTGCACCCCATAAAGGCCACACACGCAGCCAAGCCTCGCTTTTAGGGATGGCAGTCAGTCAGGCAGGACAGGCACTTACATTAATGAAGGAGGCGTTAATGTAGTCAGAGTCGGGAACCCCTTCAACAGGAGTCAGGTGAACCCTGGAATGATCATCTGGAGAAAGATGACAATTCTGCATTAAAACCAAAGCCCCACAGAGCTGAGCTGAGTTTTTGGAGTGGAGCCCAGGCTTAGGGGGTTCCCAGAATACATAAGTGACTTTATGCCCTGAAATCCTTCCATGCTCAAAGCCAGGAAGATGATGGACCTTCCTTACACAGAAAAGATCTGCATTTCCCATCTGCTTCATTTTCCACATCCTCCTGGCTGCTCACAGCTCCAGGGAGTCCCTAGTGTGCATTTAAGGCTAATGCAGATGCAGCAGCCCCTCTGGGTGAGCCCACCCTGGTGGTGCCCTCCCTCAGCCCCCCAGCCCCACCAATACCTACAGGGCAAAATGTTCACGTAGCGGTTCTTCTCCTTGTTCTCCTCCTTAGAAGCAGCTTCACATGTGGCCTGAATTGGACACGCTGGGAGAGCCTGTAATGGCAGAAAATGGGTTTTATGTGATATTTTCAGGCACAAGGAGTCCTGCACAAGGATGAATCCCCCCGATCCACTTCCCTCACCATCACTCCTGTGCTGCTCTGTGCCCTGACTTAGCTCAGAGTGATCATTTGAACAGCCCAGGCTGTACCAGAGAGCAAATCCCTTCTCAGATGCAATATCCCAAACCTCTGGACCTACAAACACGAGGTGGCAGCAAAACCTCCAACACCAAACCCACCAACACAGGGTTTTGGAAGCTCACAGGGAGGCTCCTGCTGACATTTCCTCCATTACCAGCGATGCTGTGTAACCCGACCAGACTCCCCCTGCTCCAAAACTTAATTGCCCAGCACTTGCAGGGCTGGGAGGGAGCTGCACCATCCCACCCCCAGTAGGGATCTGTTGTCCTTCCAGCAGCATCAGGGACCTCCAAATGGGGGTGCTGGAATCACTTGCAATGCAGCCCTGTAATATCCAGGAGGATGGCATGTGTTGCTTCCTCCAGCTGGCACGACAACATGCAACCCAGGACCCAGGATTTATAACCCAAGTGATTGCTTCCCTTGATATTCAGCATGTGGATTTGGTTTCATGGGCTCACAGCCTCCTCTGACATGCAGGGTATCGAGTTGTGCGACAGCTGGGGGAAGTCGACTGCGTTTTCTTTTTTAATCTTGTCACAGTCCTGATATCAGCTTATCACACCTTTCACCTAAGGTTTTATGTAATTGCAGACAGCACCTGCAGTGCAATCAGACCAGCAGTGGATTTTCTTTCATTAATTAGACCAATGGGGAATCCAGTTAGTTCAGTTCCTAAGTAATGTGCTATGACACTCCAGCCACTAGTTAACTTTGTCCCGTACCTCATCACTTCTGTCTATTTCTGCACTGCCAAAATGAAATCTCACCAGGTTCAGTGTCACAAGAAGTCACAGAACTCAGCAACATCAGGAAGAAGTTACAGACATCTCAGAAGTGACGATGCAGTACAGTGGGGTAATGACAATATCTGAATTATTGCCCAAACTGATCAGTGTGAAGGCCAGCCATTGTGCTCTAAGTGGTCATCACTTTCAGAGTTAACAGCTTACTCACATAAGTAGAATTTCAATTTCTTGTTTTGGCTGTTTGTGCATTTGATACACCACGACACAGCTTTACCAGCAATTCACGTTGGCAGTGTTTCTGTCATAGCCCTGAAGAGGAGGAGGAGGGAAGGCTCTACCTGGGAGGAAACCAGCAGGCAGGGGAACTTTTTTAGAGCTCTTCCATCCCAAGACCTCCTGGATACAGAAGAATGTAACCCCAGGGTGTTGCTTGCTAGCAAAACTGAGAGCAGCCGGGTGGAACACAGGCAACAAGAGAGAGATACCAGGGACCAGTTACAAGGGTGAAAACTTCTTTGTGTGCTTTGCAATAAATATGTAAAAATCTCCAAGTGGCTTCGCCTTTGATGTACCAGCTGTTTTGTCTCTGCTGTTCTACAAAATGAGACCAGAATTCTTCTGTTGTGTGTCATAAGCTTTACACTGATAGCATCCTGCTCAAGCTGTGCAATTTAAGGAAAAGAAGACAGAGCTTTTCAATTCTCTCTCCATCAACCTCTTCATCTCATCAGCCATGAAATTGCTGCATGGCTGCAGATAACCACTGTCCACCCTGCAATAAACACCCATTGCTTTGCAGAGTAACAGAGGATCTTCTGTATCAGTTTGAAAGATGAACACCACTCTGTACCGGCTTGGTTGTGTCCACTGGAATGAAATGGAGTAAACAACCTCCTTACTCCCACCCATCCCTTATGCTGCAGGAGAGGAGGAGAAGCAAAGATACTCACGTTGAACTCTTCTCGGAAGAGCTTGTTGTCATCTGCCATGCGACGGTTGATCTCCTCCTCCAGCTTGTCGACGGGCAAAGGTGGGTATTTCCTGTTGGTGCTGGGGGACCTGGCGAGCAGCGGCATGCTCTGGGGCTCTGCAATGACACCCAGGGGTCAGAGTTGTCCCCAGATGCTCCTCTGTGCCCAGTACCCATCCTCACAGAGCTCCCACACTGTGGGCACACCACATTTAGGGACGCTTGGCTGTCTCTGCTCCTCCCTTGGGCTGTCCATGAAAATTTGGGGGTGCTGTGATAACTTGGGACTTTATCAGCAGCCTGGAGTTGAGCATTGCCCTGTCATGGAGCCAGGATGCTGAAATAAGGATCAAGTCATCAGTTCTGGGAGATGAACACCAGAGTCTGGAGCTTTAAACTACAACAAGGGAGATGTAGCTGAGATATTAGGAAGAAATTCTTCACTTTGAGGGAGATGAGGCTCTGGCATTGCTGCCCAGAGGAGCTGTGGGTGCCCCATCCCTGGAGATCCTCAAGGCCAGGTTGGATGGGGCTTTGGGCACCTGGTCAGTGAAAGGTGTCCCCCCTTGGCAGGAGGTCAGAACCATATGGGCTTTAAAGTTCCCTTCCAACCCAAACCATATGATTATGAAGACTCTGAATTCCCTCATTAACATGGGAAGTTTGGCACAATGACCATGCCACAGCTCCCAGGTGAATGCAGTAAAGGTAGCTGCTGCATTTGGTTTCTGCTGAGCAACTCCAGCGAAGCCAAGAAAGGCCACAGGAGGGTTATATCAACACAACTGAGGGTTTATGAAGTTAACACCTTAGCTTACAGCAATATAAAACTTGGGCAAGGAAGGCTTTAGCTGCCAGCATGAAAAAACATTGCTGATTTTCAGCTAGTGCTCTGTTGTATGTGTGTGGTTAATATGGAAGAAGCTCAGAAAAAGGATCTGAATTGAGTCTGACTCAGAAAATCATAGAATATCCTGAATTGGAAGGGATCCATAAGGATCACTAAGGCCACCCCTTAGGTGCCTGAAAGTTCCTCTTCAGCTCTTACAGAAGACAAGCACGTTACAGCAGGCTGGCACAAGACTTTTTAATTGCACTTGTAAATTTTGTCTATCTTTCAAGGTTTTCATAAGGAAAAAACAATGTGTTCCCAGCTTTATCTCCACAATGTTAATTTGGTGCCTGCAGTCAATGTGAAGAACTTCACAAGAGTTTTATTCAGCTGTCATCCTAATTTAAAAGGGGAACTGCCAGCAGTTCAGTTTTGGAAGTGATCACAACGTATTAGAACACTTGAGGGGAAACATTTGTTGCTGGAATTAAAGTTAGGAAGAGAATTGTTGTTTTAGGTTTGTCAAAATCATGGAAAACAGTGAGAGTTCAGAACAAGAAAGTAATATAAACATAGATTAAAACAACATTATCCAGCAGTGATTCGCTAGGTGCTGTCACTGCAATGGGCTCAGTGCTGAGCTCAGGGGCTCTTGGAGCTTCTACAGAGCTCTGTTTTCTGATGATTTAATATAATTTTGTATGATTACAAATGGAAAGAAAAAAAAAAAAGTAAAATAATCCATTCATAATGGATTAATAGTTCATTCTGAAGAATGTTTGACATGCTGTGGTTTGCAAGCACATGGCACGTTTTGCAAGGGACATGATTTAGTAAACATGGTGGTGATGAGTTGATGGTTGGACCTGATGATCTTGGTGGTCTTTTCCAACCTTAATGGTGATTCTATGGTGATTCATTTGTACCTCTGTCTCCATGTCATGCCTTACCTGCATCATCTGTCCGGCCATTGGGCAGGCGGAAGGAGTTGGAGTGACTCCCTGCTTGCTTGTATTTCTTGAACCTAAAGAAGAAAAGGGCATTGAGAAAGTCAGGAGTTGGCCACTGAGATGCCAGGTTACCTTCTGGAATAGCAAACCCTCCTCAGCTTCACTGCTGTGAGATGGGCCCCGAGCCAAGAAACGAAGGGAATTTTTCCACCACTACTAAGGAAATTGCTTTTTTTTTTTTTTTTTTTTTTTCCCTTTTAATTATTTAATCATCAAAACATTGAGTAAATTAAAATGTTTACTGCAGCTGAGCAGATGTGCACTCAGGAGCTGGGTTCACTGAGGGCATCGTTTGGAGCAGCCCAGATGCTTGGATTTTTAAAACGTTGTCTTAGAAAGGCTCTCTTGTGCTGCAGCTCCATCTGCTGCATCACCCTTGTGTCCAAACAGCTGCAGCACCCACTGCCCTGCATGGTTCTGCTGGGACAACTTTGGTGCACAGCTTTGGTACCCAAGGCTGTCCATGGGCATTGGGTGATGTCTGATATTGTGATGGGAATGAAGGAATAATGCAGAAGATTTTATGGCTGGAGAGTTCTGTGCAGCTTCACCAGGTTCCTCAATCCATCAACCTGAGCCTTGGAAGGAGACCTTGCCTGCTCTTATCTGCACAAGCAGGGCTTTGATTAATCCATCCTTCTCAGTGTTACTGTTTCACTAACTGAACAGAGAAGGAATAGCTTTATACTGAAATGAATAAGCAACAATTATTAAATAGCCCCAAATATAATTTTCATTATCCTCACAGATTTCTTTTTATAACATTGCCTGTGTCAGGTTTGCATAGCTTAGGAAACAGAACAAAAAGCTCACGATAGAGACCAGTCTTTCAGCTAACCAACCAATAAATCATTTGTCAAATAAGTCAGCATGAAAGCCCTTCTTACCTTAACATGTACAGCACAATAATAATAAATACTATGACTAGGAGGGAGGACAGGGCCACCATCACGGCGATAATTGGAGTCTCATCTGCAACAAAGAAAGAAAGGTGCAGTTACCAATGGCTATCCAAAACCACCCAGTGCCATCAATTAACCATTCCTCTACAGTTCCTGCTTTTAAAATAACCCACTTGTTCCATAGGGTTGCATTTGTCATGTCTGGTTGGACTGGGTGATCTCAGTGGGCTTTTCCAACCTTAACGATTCTATGGTTTGGTGAAGATAGATATGTGACCTAAGGGAGCATGCTGAGATTAGATTAAAAGCTGTGAACACCACTCATAGTACCCTGACCTTTTCTAAGAGCAGTCTGCTGGGAAACCTTGTGGCCTCGAGGATGCAAACTTCTGCTGAGAAAGTTTGTGAGAGAGGAGAAGTGGCCACACCAGGGTTTTCACAATTAGAACACAATTAAAAGTGCCCCACAATAAAAAAAACAACAAAAAACAAAACAAAAACAGGATTAAAAGTGCCCTATAAAGGTCCATACACAAAGTTTCTAAATTTGTCCAAGAGCTCAGTGAGAATCCTTATATTACAGTAGGTGAAAATGATGGCCTTTGTAGGACCATACAGATCCCATATTGTTTAAGATAGCCGTGATTTTTCTTCCAGCTTCATGCCCAAGCAATGTTTCCATGCTACACCCAACTGTGTTCAGCCCAGGGCTGAGGTTTGCTGCCAGCTATTTGTTACCTGCTCCTGGGGTCAGAGCAGCAGTGCTTGGAGCAAGCACATCACCCAGAGGCAGCTGGAAGACAAGCCACACTAACAGACAGGAAAATAGCCCTAAAGGGCATTTTTCCAGAAGAATGTGGATAGCAGCAGAGCCAGAGAGGGGTATTTTCATTTTGCATCAGCTCACTCAATCTGGAATCAGGAGCTCTAGAGAAGTGATTCTGAACAAAAGATCTGACTTATGCACAACGATGTGAAGGTGGAGACCTACTGCTGCAAACAATAAAAAAAACACCTCTCCCAGTCTTTGTTCTTTCCATCTGCATCCCCCCAAACCCAGCAGTGAAAAAGAAATTCATCTGAACACATTTCTGTCTCCTGCATACTCGGTAACTGTTCCTAGCCCTCACCTCCCCTCTGCCATGGCTCATGTTCATGGTTCATGTTGTTGAATTTATCAAACCCTCTTGCTGCAAAGCCCTACTCAATGCCTGCCAAGCTTCCCAGACACAGTTGCATGGATGAGGTACAGGTACATGGTAAGGATGAGAGATAATGGCCTTAAGTTGTATCAGGGGAAAGTCAGGTTGGATATAAGGAAACATTTCTTCTCAGAAAGGGTGGTGATGCGTTGGCACAGGGAAGTGGTGGAATCACTGTCCCTGGAGGTATTAATGAACCGTGGAGATATGGTGTTGAGGGACATGGTTATGGTCATGGTGGGGATGGATTGGGGCTGGACTTGATCATCTTAGAGATCTTTTCCAAGCTTAATGATTCTATGATTCATCAAGAGCCCACAGAACCAGATTCATGACAAAGCTTCCATTTGGTCTCTTGGTGGATCTCCTTCCCAGAAGCCATAACAGACACTGCAGTCTGGGATAAGTCATTGAGCTTGGCATGAGCAGTCTCCATTTTCATTTGCAATTGGCTTTACAATAACTGAAGCAAAGCAGTAGGTTAAAGAAGTTCCCACTGAGCTGGTCCTATCTCTACCATGGCCAAGGCAGGACAGTTCATTGGGATCCAAGTTCCTGCACCAAAACCTCAGTTCTGTATGATGCTTCAAGGACAGCTGCACAGGGCTCAAAGCAGAGGATAACCTGGTCACTTCTGAATCTAAAATCCAACCAAAATATCAGAAAATCAGAGGTGAAATTTACCTTATGGAAAATCCAGCCATTTGTTCACATTCTGTAGGACTGGTGTGTATGTGCAAACCATATCACAGCCCCATCACATGGCACTGAAAGCATCACTTCTTGAACAAGTAAAGTCTTAAATACCTGTGCAGCTTTGCTCCCAAGCAGGCAGTGCCTTTTAAAGAGCCTGCCAAGGACTCCATGGTTAGTTTCTCCCTATCTCTGCAATGGATCACACCATATCACTCACAGCAGTAGCAAAGAACAGCTTACAGATGTCCTATAAGGCCAAGATCCTATGAGCTCCCTCAAGGCTTAAAAGGGATGGGGAAGGACTTGCAGACAACAGAAGAGTTTGGTGTTGTTATGAAAGACAATGACAAAGCACCAATTTCCACCTGACTCCAGGAAAAAGCAGTGAGCTGGAGTGCCATGTAGTGTACAAAGCTGAAATGCCATCAGGACAATGATGAAAACACAAAGAAAGCAAACAGGCTGCCCTGCTGTTGGTCTGTTGGCTCCTATGCTGCTAAAGCAATGAGTAATTGCAAATATTCTGTTAGCAACGCTGGTTCTCAGAACTCAGTCATTGAATCAGAGATGGAAAAATGAGTGTAAGTGCTATTATATTACCAGAAATGGATTTCTGCTACTTCTTGCCAGCAAAATTAATGAGAATGATAAGTATTCACATCATTTGCAGAATGGGTCCTGATCAAACAGGGTAAGTCACGGTCAATAAAGACAATTCATAAGCAAAAAAGGAGAAGGACATTTCTTGAGCTGCTGCCTGTAACCTTTTCATACAGCCCTGCAGAAGGCAGTGCTGATACACTCAGTGAGTGAAGCAGGAACTCCTCATATCTCATAGGATATGTACAAATTGGTGCTGAATTGTTTATTTTTGAAAAGCAGGAGCCCAACTCTTATTAACATATCAATATGCCTCTTCTAAAGAGCTTGATATGCTTTGTAAAAGCCATTTTGAAAGCGTGTGATAAGGAGAGCTGTCTAATAGCATAATGCTTCTGGAAATGCCTTTACTTAGGGCTTGAATAAAGAGTAATGAAATACAAATCTCTTACCTCTTCTGTCAGAGTTACCTGCAGAAAAAGAAAACAGAGGTCTCTTAGCAACCAAGAAATACACATTTTCCTAAGTGAGGATCAAAGACTGAAATAGCAACAAATGTAGTAACTGTCACCGCCTCCTTGCAAATCTTTTTATTAAAATATCTGCTCCTGAAGCCATGATATGGAAATATGTTTCAGCTTTCACTCAGTCATAAGGAAAAAGGAATAAAATGCACATTTGTAGCTTTACTGATTAGAAGGAGAAACCTGAAAATTTATGACTTTACTTTTTGGTCTGTGAGCCACTGGGAGAAACATTTCCTATTTTTCTCCTTTTCCATCTCCTGAGCAGCACTTAATGCTCTGATGACTGCTTTCCAAATTTCCCATTAAGATGAATGGAAAAGGCAGCCCTAAAACTAATTTTGCTCTTTGACAAATTACTTGAAATAAAGCAAGAATCAGCTTGGGCATTTGTTTTAGGGACTGACAGCAAGAGAAAAGCCTTGCTGATTCCATGGCCAACTCATTGCAGTGCACAAGGAGAAACCAAGTCACAAAAACTCTTGAGGGCCGGGGGCTGAGAAGCAAGCTGGATGAGTTCAGCAGTGTTCTATGGGCCATGAACATCCTTCAGCCTCAATCTCAATGCCAACAGCAAAAACAACATGATGGCAGACTCACCAGGCTGCAGTTTCCAAAAAATGCCCAAAGGAAAAGGGTGCACTCAGCACACAGATGTTCAGAGGAGCTGAGATCACCCCAAACTCGACATGCCTGGCAGTCACCTCTGTGATGTGCCAAGAGGGCAACGACAGCAGGGTGACCATATGGACAACTGTTCATCCATATCTTTGAAAGATTAAAGCAGCCCAAGGTAAGGAATAAAAACTGCTAACATAAGCGTTGTTGGATCTGCTGGGAAATGCAAAATTGAGACATCCAGTGCATGGAACAGTCTGATTGATGCCATCTCTCTAGGAGCTGCTGGATGTCAGGAGGAAGTTCTTTACTAGGAGAGTGGTGAGGTGCTGGAACAGCTGCTCAGAGAGGCTGTGGATGCCCCGTCCCTAGAGTGTTCAAGGCCAGGTTGGATGGGGCCCTGGGCAGCCTGGTGTGGTATTAAATGTGGAGGTTGGTGGCCCTGCATGTGGCAGGAGGGTTGGGGATTCATGATCCTTGAGGTCTCTTCCAACCCTGGCCATTCTGTGATTCTGTGATATTTAGTCTAAGCCTTAAATCTGTCATGACAGGGACTGCTTTCTTGTGTCTGTGCTTGTGCAGTGCTAAAAAGCATGCCTTAAGCCCATCGCTGGTGTCAAAGTACAAATAACTGCTTTGTGGAGCAGCAGTACGAATAACCAAAGCTCTGTAGGATGGGACGGTCAACATCCCAAAATCTGTAGGATGGTCAACATCCCAAAGTCATTTATTACTATTGCTTACACAAACCTACTGAGGACCAACTTTTCAGCCAGTACCTGGAGTCTGGGTGCCAGTCCTCTTTTGTGGTTCCAAGAAACCACAAAAGGCAATGAAATTCATCTGTGACGGAAGTGAAACGAGATTGTACAATCTGGTACAGCCAACATCTTGGCAAGAAGCTGCAGCTTTCACAGAATCATAGAATCACAAAATGGTGCAAAAAGTGTAAGAAGTCACCCTCCATCTGTTTTACAAACTCCCTTTACATTCTAAAAGGCCCCAAGGAGGTCTTCCTGAAGCCTTCTCTTCTACAGGCTGTTCACTGTAGATTGTTTTTCTTCTTTGTTTGAACTGAAGAGAGGATGAATCTTTTTGCACTTACTCAATTCAGTGTAACATATTGTTACATATTGCCATGGAATTTGCCCCAAAGTGTCTTCTTGTTCCTATTTGTTCAGCAAAACAAGAGAAGATGAAGAGGTTGGATATTAGGAAATATTTCTTCTCGGAAAGAGCGGTCAGGCACAGGCACAGCTGCCCATGGAGGTGGTGGGGTCACCATTCCTGGAGATGTTCAAGGACCGTGGAGATGTGGCACTGAGGGATGTGGTTATGGGCATGGTAGGGATGGGGTTGGACTTGGGGATCTTAGTGGTCTTTTCCATCCTTAGTGATTCTATGATTCTATTCCATGAAACAAGCCCACAATTAGGGCAGCCTAGACAAACAGAAGTGTGCCAAGTGGATGGGGCCAGGCTGTTTTTGGTGGTGCTCAGAGACAGGACAAGGGGCAATGGGAATAAAGTGGAACCCAAGAAGTTCCATCTGAGAACAAGAAAGAACTTGTTGACTATGACAGTGACAGAGCCCTGGCACAAACTGCCAAGAGAGGTGGTGGGCTGCCTGGATGCCTTCCTGAGCAACCTGCTGTGGAGAATCTGTTTTTGGGGGTAGGTTAGAGTGCAGCAACTCCAGAAGTGCCTCTAGCTCCTACAGTTCTGTGATTCTGTGATTCTATGAGCACGACACCTACCATTGTGGGATGCAGAAGAGGTCTCTTGTGTTGTCACTGTCGCGCTGACGTTCCTCTCGGTCGTCTCCGCTTCCATGCTGGGCAGTGCAGTGTGCGGGGCAGACGGTGTCACGCTGGGTGACAGTGAGATGGCCACAGGGGCAGAGGTGGGCACTGATGCCCCTGGAGTGGAGGCATTGAGGCTGGCAGTGGTGGCATTGGGGGAGATGCTGGTGGCTGTGGTTGTAGGCGACTCCGACACCGGGGTAGAAGTGGTCACTGGAGAGCTAATGTTGAATCTGCTCACTCTCGGCGTCGTCCCACCATCAGGAATTGCTGTAGGAGCTTTGGTGGGGATACTTGTGGAGGTGGGCACTGTTGTGGGTGGCTCTGTGAGGATAAGGAGCACAAAGGAGAATCCATAAGTTACTTTTCTGGAGGATTTATATGCTGTAGATTTGTGCTACTGCAACTACAAGCGAAAAAACAACCAACACATCCCAAGTCTGGGAGAGAGAGCACTTTGCACAGTACGGTGATGTCAGTCTTATAAAAGCAGCTCACATACTATGATGTAGGGAAGGAATAAGAATTAGTGCCCCTGTAAGAGAGGATTGATGTTCATCACGGGATAAACATGCAGGTCCCATCTATGAGCACCTACAGTTTGCCACCCTTGTAGCCCAACTAACAGAAGGGGTGAGTCACAAGAACAAGATCATTTCCTTCTTCCATCCTAAAGAGGATTTAGGGGCAGAAGAGAGGAGACAGCAAGCAAGGTTTACCTGTTGTGACATTGTTAGCACCTACGCTCATCAGGCCACTTCCAAGCAAAAGGACAAAGAACCATAGATCCATGTTGACCTGAGAAAAAGAGCAAAAAAACACTTATTTGAACTGTTAACCCAAACTAATTCACACTGGGGATGCTGCTGTGTAAAGCTGGAAGGGATGAGTGAGTGTGTGGATAGAGTCACTGTATGCATGTGGATGGAAGGATTTATCTGGATGTTCATACATCCCCACCTGGAAAAGGAGATTGATTAATAAGGAGTTCATGTAATAGTGCACACACCAGCGTGCTATGATGAAATGTAAATGCAATACCCAGCAAGGAGCTGTGATCCTAAAGGCACAAAAGAGGGGAGGTTGGCTCACCTCTCCCCATCACCCATCTCCAGGACACCCACATCTCCTTTTTCACATTGGACTTAAGCACGTGGTGGACATTAATAGGTTATTCTGGATTTGGGGAAGCCTAATTCAAAGCCCCAAACACCCATTCTACAAAGAATAACTCAAAGCAATCTGCAAGCTCTGCCTGTGCTGTGCATGCATTGTGCCGTGCATTTCTTCCCAGGAAGCGTCCTGAAAAATTAAATTACAGGATGATGACATCAGTAAAATTGTTTTTTTTTTCCCAGAACAATCCCCAACCTTTCTCCCTCAGCCCTTTGAAATGCATGCTCAAAGTTTTTACGGTGTTTGTTGGTTATTTCTTCCTTCCAAAAAGCTCCTAAAAAATGGGTATGGTTATCTTCTCTGAAACAGGTATGGATCCAGAGGCAATCAAAAATATGATGTCAGATATCATCGTCCAGCCCCAAGCTTGCAAGCCCCCAAAACAGTCCTTCCAGAAAGAGCTTCATTCCTGCAATCCCTCTTTCGTCTTTCATTCACCCTGTGTTGTTTGCTCTCATCGTATGGATTCAAATATGCTTCAGTTGAGACCCATCCCAAATTCTGGGCAAGGGGACAAGGCTGATGTCATGAAAGATGCAGCCCCACCAGCAGCATCCTCCCACCAGCACCACCCGCCTACATTCTTTGCCTCCCTCCTAATGAATACATGGCAAAAATGGAAGTGATCAGTGGAGAACATTGCTGGGAGCACAGTGTTGCTTGCTGTTAGACCCCTGTCCCAGGATGCAGCTCATCCTATGCCCACACTGCACAGGGAGGAGGGGTTCTTGTTTAGCTTGGTGAAGGGAAGGCTCTGAGGAGACCTCATTGTGGCTTTCCAATACTTGAAGGGAGCGTATAAACAGGAGAGGGAATGGCTGTTTATGAGGGTGGATAGTGATAGGACAAGAGGGAATGGTTTTAAACTGAGACAGGGGAGGTTTACGTTGGATATTAGGAGGAAGTTTTGCATGCACAGGGTGGTGAAGCACTGGAACAGGTTGCCCAAGGAGGTTGTGGATGCCCCATCCCTGCAGGCATTCAAGGC